CAAAGGAGCCTACAGTTATATATTCATTTTCGTGCTTTTTATTATTTCCTATCCCTTCCTTTCATGTTTCTTAAATAACAAGGTAGCAGAGAATCTGCATCCTGCAGCGATGAAGAGGAGGTAGAAACAAAGTAAGTATTCTTCAGCCTTTCCTCCATCCTACTCTCTTTAAACAAAGCATATTATTATTCAAACGTGTTTTTTCATCCCTGGATATTAATAAGAAAATGTCTCTCTGCAAAGAATTTATAATGCTCTTTCACTGAATGTCAGCAGCTTCTCTAGACAAAAGGGCTGCTGTGTTTGTTGCATTCCAACGTTCACTGATGTGGGCAGAGCAGTTATATAAACTAAGACTGCATTGCTTGGGAAGAGATTTAGTATATTCCTCTAACCATCATCCTAACTTACATTGAACTCTGGGAATCCTTTCCAACTGACTTTAGATGACATTTCTGGTAGCTCAAGAAGCTCTTCCTGCCTTATAACTTTACAAATCCAAAATACTTTTCAGGTAAAGAGGACCTGAAGTTTTACAAAGGTATATGGCCATAATTTTAGTTTAACGCATGTTCCATTTGAAGAGAGATCTGTGAGTGTCATGCTATGTGAGAATGACCTTGGGTGTCAGGTGGAAGAACGACCAGATAAGAGGCAGCTGTACCCACAAAAGGAACAGATGCATAGTAAACACCTCAGAAGGGACCCTCCTTAGCTTTTTGGACTGTAAAAGTGAGGGGGACATATGTACTTTCCGACATGCAAGATTTTCTTAATGTAACTTTACAATAAAGATGGAATTTGTACTCATGAGTGTTTTTCTTGTCTGAATTACTTCTCAGGATTGACAGTGAGTTTGCTCCCTCGTGATTCTGATTGCTCAGAACATTTCTTCTTTGAATACAAGATGCAGTACGAGGGCATCAAGATTTCATTTTCCAAATGCTTTCAAAATATACAGTGATTGTTTGTGTTAACTATTTATATATAATAACTAGACACATTTAATAGGAGGGATACAGTGTATTTCCAGCTGTTCTGACATAGTTATAGATAAATCCTTTTCTGCCACTCACAAAAGTCAAGAAAGTCTAGGATGATAATAATAAGTTTTCCTAAAAGCATAAACATGCACATATAGTATTAACAGAAGTTTAAAGCACTTACTGAATTAACTTCCAGCATTGAATTTCTCTTGGAATGGATTCCTAGGATAATTTTTCATTACCAGCATTATTATTTCAGAGAATAACACTGTTGCACAGTGGCATAGCCATTTGTTACTGATTTTGTCTCATTGACAGTCCAGCATTTAAAAGCAGATGTTCTGTTCTAGCTAGTCAATATTTAGAACTGTTTATAGCTTTTTAGTTTCTGTCCTTGAGGCACTGAGTTTTAGATTGTGACAATTGAAATGCATCAATGAAGGCAATGGAAACTGACAACAGTGAGCTATGAATCAACCATGCAAAACAATCATATGTATCATACAAAACTATTTTTGTCTATATACAAATCCACTATACAAGGTAAACAGCAGTTATTGCTCAATACAGAGCCATCTACAGCTTGAAACAGATTTAACTCCTCACCACTAAGTGCTTGAAATGAAACTTCATGAACGATGGTGTCTCAAAATTGTGACTGACTCATTATCATAATGTTCTTTCATTGATCATAAATAGGTAATTTTACAGGCATGCCATATCGGTCAGTTTTGCCACTTAAAAACATTTCTGTACATACAACAGGGGCCACTGAACAGCCCGAGCAACACTGTAATAATATACAGAGTTTCAGAATTCCTCAGAAAAAGAACCTTAGGAGAGATTTTTAACTACCAGTTGATTGTTCTCGCAGCTATTTTCTTGCTCTCCTCTTTCAAGGCTGTCCAATATATAATGTGAGTCCCCTTTACAAGAGCTGGACTGTGAAGCAATTCAACATCCTATTAAAAAAGAGAGTTATAGCACCCAAGCTCCTAGTTCCGGCTGCCAAGTAACACAATATAAATAATTGCTCGTAGAAATAGTCACCTGTACCTTCAATAGTGTGCTAAATTTCATACTCTCCAATCACAGTTGAAGTATTTAGAACTGAGATCCCTATTCTCACCAAATAAGATTTGAAACAGAAGCAAAGCAACAACATATAAAACCACAATTGAATTGTATCTTATGGACAGTAAGTATAAAACTTCATTGAGGAAATCAATGGTTGAGCACATAAATAGACATNGACATAGCTCACTAGTGGCAGAGAAAAGATACCTTTTGCCTAAAGATATAGAATGGAACACAATACATCAACATGGCTTTTCTTACAGCAATATAAGAAACTGCCTTGCTGCTCCTCAGACTGCTGAGCCATTAGCAAACCCAACATTGTCCACACTAACTGGCATTGCTTGTTTGGGTTAAGGAATGCCTTCCAGTTTGATCAAGACATGCTACTGGCTGGACTTAGAGCTTTTTCCATACAAATGATGTGTTCTACACTTTGCAGGCCCCATAGCACCGTTACCTACACTGCAAAGAATACATCCAGCCAGAAAGACATTTAAATAGTAATTAGAGCCAGAAAAAATATTACAGTGATGTACAACATTAAAAGATGAAACAACAGATGAAACAAATGTTTTTCTTATATCTCAGCACCTTCCTTTTGCTTTCTCTTTATTCTCAGTAAGAAACACATTTCTATTGTTTATATAGGGGCATGAGATTTGCTTCTGCCATCCCCGCTCAAAAGTAAGAAAAGTCACTTCTGATGTTCAACCTCAAAATTGATGTGAATCAAAAGTTCCGTTAAATACACTTAATACAGACGTGATCTAATCTTGCCATGCTTTTCATTCTGTTTGATGAAAAAGAGAATACTAGGTTTTGAACTGGATTTCACATTGGTCTGCATTACAATAGTCTTCTAACACTGCCTAATGCCATGGAATTGCCCACAGGAACAAAAAAAAAACCACCAGACATTAAACTAATACACTTTAAATCAAAGTCACTGCATAGAAAGATATCATAGAAGTATTGCACCAAATCGCAAACATTCTAGGATGCCTCTCCAGGTTTTCAGAAACTCTGCAAGCAATGTCATAGGAGGAAAAAAAAATCAACAGCAGACTAACATCTTTCTCAATATACATAGGGTGAGTTTTACAACAAATGAACAACAAAGATCCTGACTTCTGGCAAATCCTGACAACCAAAACTGAGACATCCAGTTAGAAGATTAAGGACAAGAGAACGTTCCAGTCAATTCAAAGTTGTTATTATATTTTTTGTAGGGATATTTTCTAGTACACTATTTTAAATATTGGACTAATAGCCCACATTGCATTACAACTTGATAGATATCATCCTTTGGCTAAACCAATTCTTGCTCTTTGGAGATTATTCAGTTCTTGTGATTTTTCTCCCACCCTCCTTCTTAGATTTCTTGCTGCTAATCTGTTCTCCTTTCCTCTGAGCTCACCTTGCCCCGCCTTGGATAATGCTTGTCACCGCCAAAGAATCTGCCCAATGAATCAAGTAGACTTGGTTCCCTGTATCTTCGTGGTGATCCATGTCTAGCATGGTCTATGGTACTTGCAGTTGCAAGTTTGGAACCATGCCGGAAAGAGGAGCGTTTTTGTGAAGCCATCAAATCCGAATTCTCAGAAGCTGCTACTGCACTGTCTTCCTGAATGGTCTGCAGCTCATCTGATTCAGAGGGCCGATCTTTGAAGGTGTTGTCTTCTCTGCCTGGGGCATCTCGGGAAAAGAGGCGGACCAAATGGGGGCGACCAGTTGTGTCAGCTGGGTTGGCTTCCTTCCAGGCATTCTTTGGATCCGCTGTGTCCTTGGAGTCTGTCACCGCTCTGCCCTTAGTGGAGGTCCCATTGTTCTGGTTCACATCTGCCTCTCCTGCAAACAACAAGGATGAGATATGAATACAGGCCTGTGAAAAACAGAATGTTAGAACAATGCTGCTTTCTTCCCCTTGCCTTGAGCTAGCTGCTTCACACAAAAACTATAGATTATATGCAACTGCAACAGATCTGCCTTTTACTGAACCAAAGACACACATATATATTAATTCT